GTTTTTTTTTTTTTTTTTTTTGAGACAGGATCTCCTTGTAGCCCCAGCTGACCTTGAGCTCACAGAGATTCCGTCTACCTCTGCCTCCCAAGTGCTGGGATTAAAGGAGTGTGCCACCACACTCGGCTCAAATTTTTGTGTTTTTGAGTTGCCAAAATACATATAACATTTATTATCTTAACCATTGTGTCTAGTCCAGTGGCAATGCACATCACTGTGCAGCACCACTTTATCTCAAGGACATTTTTCATGCTACATTAAATACCAACTCCCGTTGCCTATTCTTCAGTTACTATTCTGTTTTTGTCTTTATGAATTTGACTGTCAGAGACCTTAAAGGAAAATCATCCACTGTTGTTTGTGACTGGCCCATTTCACTTGGCATAATGTGCACTTATCCTGACAATGACATTGGCTTTTTTTTTTTTGTCCTTTTGAGACAGGGTCTCCCTGTAGCCCCAGCTGTCCTGGAACTCACTGTGTAGACCAGGCTGGCCTTGAACTCACAGAGATCTGCCTGCCTCTGCCTCCCAAGTGTTGGGACTGAAGGCATGCGCCACCACATCCGGCTGACATTGGCTTTTTGAAGAGGTTAGGCTAGTTATTTTGAAGAGTGTTCCTCATCCTCCAATGTATCTTTCTTTTTGATGTAACAATTTTATTTTATTCTGTGTAGTTCCTATAAACTAGACATTAGACCCAGGAGTTTGATTAGAGATGGAAATTAAACACTTGAAAACTGTTAAGGTTTGAGAATCGAGAATTCCCACAGATACCCAAAAAGATTATACAAAAAGTTTGTTTAAGAATTTAAAGTAAAAAAAGACAACCAAATGGCGGCTATCTAGGCACAGACTATATGAGCCAAATATGGAGTCTGGCCCCGAACAATAGCAGGCAGGGGCTTTTATTGGGGCACTCCACAGAAATCCGCACGTGCCAAGCATCTTTTTAAAATAATTGGATGTCCCCATATCCTGTGTATGGGGAAAGTCTTGATTGGTAGGGGCTGTCTTCAGGGCATTGGAATGTGCTGACTGATAATCTTTTAGAGCCAAAAGTTTTTGTTCATGCCTTATAAGGCTTTTACATGTACAATATGCCTGAGCTTGTCTGGGCTTGTCTAAAGAAGTTAGCCAAAATGGAGTCAGAGCATTCTGGCTCTTCATTCCCCCCTAGAGTTATGGCAAGGGTTAAATCTTTAAGCCAAGCAAATTACAGAAGTGGGAAGAAGCAGTTAGACAGCGCATTTAGGGCACTGGAACCATTTCTATATTGTAAGACTCGGGGTCTCGATTTAAATGAGTATACTGCGAATGCAGTACCATCAGTTGGACTGTCTGTATCCATTCTCAGATGAATTTGAGTAAGGCATTAAGAATACAGGGGCCACAGGTGACTGCTAATAGGAGTAAGAGGAGAGGTCCAACTATTGCTGAGATCAAAGTTGTTAACCATGGGGACCAGTCAAATAGGGATTCATACCAATTTTGTTGATTTAGTCATTCGTTTTCTCTTTCCTTAAGTCTTTTACAGACCTCAGCCAAAGACTGTTTTATAACTCCCGAGTGGTTAACATGGAAACAACACCGTTCCCCTAGGGCAACACAGAGTCGTCCTTTCTCTAGAAAAAGTAAATCCAGCGCTCTCCTATTTTGTAAGGTTGCCTCAGCTAAAGAGAGTCTTCGAGGTGGCGGATAGATGTTTCTAATAATTGTATGTCTAAGTCTATGGCCTGTCTAAGAAGGTGATAATTTTTATCCTGGAGGACTAGCGCTGAAGCCCCCAGACCAATTGCAGTGGTTACCCCGACCCCAAGTAAAGTAGACAAGACAACTACAGTGGTTCCTGTGGCCCTACGAGGGCTAGACTCTTCTGAGGCTCTGGTTTTCATTTCTGTGTCTGTTCTATAATATAGATGGGGAACCAGCTGCACTAGTACACAAAAATCCCTGGTCTGGTTTAAAATGGATGAGTGGAGGCATGTAGTTAAGCCAGAGGTACAGGCCCACCAAGTGGAGTTGGGGGGCACCATATATGGGTTAGGTGTAGTAGCCCCTATCTCTTGAACAGAGTTACATAGATGTTGGTAAGAAGGGGGGACAATTTTATGTGAGGGAGTCACGCATAGCCCTTTTCCATACACTTGGGAAAGGGTGAGTCCCCTTCTCCCTGTAGGTGGGGGGATTCTACAGGCAGTGGAGTCAGAAGTGACACCATAATTTCCTGGGATAGCTAACCTATCATAAAAGGGAGGGCTCAGGTCCATGCAAAACCAGCAATGGATATTAAGGTTAGGGGAAGTATTATTTAAAGCAATAAAAGTTGCATTTAGGAGGTTCGTAAGCCCAGGGGATGGCTGCAGGGGCTCTTGGACCCGTTGGACCTCTGGGGGTGTGGATCTAGGTGTGGGCAAGGTAGCAGTTTTATCCAGTGGGACAGTTTGGCTAGGAGCTGGCCTCTCGACAGATTTAAAAATAGTTAAGTCTGGTGTTGACCATCCTGTAGGCTGTGCCACTGTCCAAGCCAGCCCCATCTGGGTCCCCAAGACTGGACCCGCCTGAAGACGAACTGAAAAAAGTATTCCTGGATCAGTCCCTGTGGTGTATAACCTGAGGCCCCA